TGGACGAGAGCCTGGGACCGAAAACGCTGCCCAAACCCCGCCTGGAAAGCCTTTCCGGTTTACCGTAATGAGTCACGTCGTTCCTGCTCCACGCTGTAAGTGTTCAGTTCAGAGCGGTGCTCGTAAATCTGTAAGTTTTGTAAGGCCGATGCAAGTATGGCATCGTTGGGGAGCGCCCTGTGTCTGACCTGGAGATTTCACGTGCATTCATCATATTGTCTAAACCCATTTTCGGATTCACAAGTCACTGGAAGCATCACATTCGCGTGCAAGACACGGCAAAGACTCGCAGCCACAATGGCCCATGCCCCTGACCTGCACGGGACACCCAGCTTTGACATCGAGTAGCACAGATTAGTATCAAGCAAGAAGACGCAAGAAGCAGAACAGTACCAGTACATCTGGTAATAGTCAATGCCATGGCAATGCCATGGCAATGCCATGGCAATGCCATGGCAATGCCATGTTGCCTGAGCCACGTAAGCTCGGCCAGGCCCAGGCTTCAATCCACCGACCTCAGAAGCAAAGGTCAAAGGCGACAATAAACTGCTAAGGTTTGCACAGCGACGCGAGTGATAATTATAGTGCAGGACTATGCAGGACTACTGATGAGGGGCTGCACACGTTTTTACGTTGTCGCTGTTGTTCACTTGTCCATGCAACGTCGTTGAGAATTGGGCATGCTACGTTCCACACGATTCGGCAGGTCTTAACTTTCCGAACGAGGCAATTGTAAGGTGTCCATTGTCGCTGCATGCTCGACCGCCGATGACTGCCGGTGTGCGAGGTGCGAGCTTGCAGTGATGCTCGTGCTGAGGGAAATCCTCAGAACGATTTGGCGAAGCAAGTCTGGGCCATGGCAGGGTATCCACGGATCGCCCAAAAGTTTGTTGCAAATCCTGGGCTCTCAAGCTGCATGGCCCTTTTTGTGCGATGTGACCATACCCTTACGCACATACATGTGTGCACATCCCAAACTGCCCCCAAGCCAATGACTACCCTGCAGACCTGCAGCCCTAACTAAACCCTTCACCCCACCAACATGCTCACCATGCTGGTCTCATGGAAATGGTGACAATTGAGCTTCTGGCTCTGAGCTCCATCAGCGCTCCCGGTGGAGTTGGCGACGCACTTCTGACAAAGCGCTCTACAGTCGATGAGCCAGCCTTCCAACATTCAACTCAGTCAGGCAGGGGAACTCTGATCATAGCATCGGAATACTGTCACCCATCGCCGCACCTCGCGCAATTCAATGACGTAAGCTGCAGCACCAACGGAGGGCCAGCGCACTGCGACAGAGAACCCAGCCTGGCTATAGGACAGCGCACTGAGATGCACTGAGCACACGAACCAGAATTGCGTTGCGATTTCACATGATGTCACGGAATACGACTACGAATGTGACTCGGAACAATTCGGACGTTTCGGGTGGCCTCGTCCAGGGCCAAGACTTCCGGAGGGATACGTGGCGGTGGCACCACAGCACCATGAACTGCCAGCGAACACATTCGCGTCATTTAGGGTCATGAGCCAATCCTCTGAGCCATCCGCTGCAACGCCATGGACCCGAAGGGGAGTAGCCTGCCACTCTACAGCCACCGAGTAGGACGAAATCGACGCCCACGCGAGACCCAACCAACCTGGACCTGAGTTTGGAATAGTCGCATGTGAGCCGCGATAGCCTCTCAAGAGTCTTAAACTCTCTGGAGTCTATAGCTATCAAAAGCCTTTCAAGTGTGGGAGACACCTGGTGGCAATCTCACCACCACTATACGAGTAACACTCATCTCAGGCACCTGGTGTCAAATCAGGCCCCCGTGAAGGCGAAGCCTGGACACATCTTGGAGACGTGAGGTGGCCGTGCATGGCGTCGCATATCCCACCATATCCCCAGGCCAGACTCCTACTGATCCTACTGGTATCGGGCGAAATGACTCGACCATGCCACGCTGTGCCACCCTGTGCCTCTGGCCACGCAGCTTCCTGCATAGGCTCAGGCTCCAAGAAGCACATCTTTATCGTCAAGCATCTTTCTCCCTTGCATGGGAAACCTGCAACTGCCCAGCAGGCATGCTGTGAGCGACCCGCTGTTCGCCTTGTGTGTGGATTGATAATGCTTGAGTGCGCAAAAGTCCCGCCAGATCAGCTGCAGAAAGCTAAGCCCACCACATGGGGCACATGGCTGGGATGCATCAGAAGCCTGGCAAGCAGGTGAAACTCAGAGACGCTCGGCGCGTCGTGATACTACTCACTATAACGATCTGGCCTCTGAACGGCAACCGCATGAGGAGACGTAAGTGATGCGCGCCTTGCATGCCAAGGAAGCTCACAACGCTCTACTACGCGAACCGAGGTTGCACAGTGTAACCACAGCGTGTCTAAACCCAAAATTCAGTGGTTGGCTGCTGGGCCGCAATGACGAGACATCAAGCTCTCAAAAATTCGTAGTTTCAGCCACACCCCAGTGGTAGAACACTTGGAAGGCAATGTTGGTTCCTCCTTCACCAGACTTCATGTTTGTTTCGAAGGCAGCTTGTTTGCAGAGTTGCGAAAATCGATGGGGTAGGCCGTTCGGTTTGCGAGGATCCTGTTGGGTTGACGTTGGGCGTTTGTGGGCGCAGCTGCCGCACTGCAATCTTTTGCCTAGAGGTCGCTACAGTACCCAGACAGACGATCGCCCATGGCGCCCATCATTCTGCCACTGCGGAAAGTTCGAGTACCCCGAACAAAGCCAGAAAAACACATCCAAGGACATGCCAATGCAACGTGCTGCAATCGTGTCAACTTCGTCATTGGTGAAGTACAGCTGGAATTCACCAGTCAACTCTATACGAGTATCCCACTACATTCACGACTAACATTTGTATACAGCTCATGCAAAAAAACTGGCCTCGTATGCATAGCCTGGACGAAGGCCGGCTACCTTCATGCACATCACAGGCCACATGATGATCAACAGCATTTCATAGCCGAGTCCAGTCCGACGGTGTGCCGCAGACCAATCGAAGTGATACTGTTCTCAGTGATGGCCATGGGGGTGAGGGCCGACTCAAAAAAAAACGAGCCGAAAACGACAAAAACCGAGACAGAAAATGGAAAGGCGTGAGTCAGAAAACCGAGGAGACGCGAATCAGAGAACAAGACAGAGAGTCAGAAAACGGCCCCAAGCACAAAAAGGTTAACCTCTACAGCGAAACGCCTTTATTTGTTAAGTAGCCGTCCATCTCTTCTAGGATAGGTACCTACTTTGTAGGGGTCTATCCGGAGATGTATAGACCCCTACCCCTATCTACAGGGTTTACCGGAAACCGATAGGTACCTACACATAGGCACGATAGACCCCTCTCGCTTTCAGACAGGCCCCCTATGTACGTCAGACGTCTCGAGGTGCCGTGCAAGCTTGCTTCAAGCATAGATGAGTTTTTGAAAAAATCTATCACGCGAGCATTTTGTTTGCAAATGGGGCCCTCCAATCCCCCCGCTTTTTTAAAGCCGTGCAAGCTTCCTTCAAAAACATTGTTTTAACCCATCATGCGAGACCCTAAAACCCCTAAATCCTAAAGACCCCTAAGCCCTAAACACCAAACACCTAAACCATAAACCCTAAAAAACCCTCAACCCTAAACCCTAAAGAAACTTAAACCCTACACCCTAAAAATCCCTAAAAGCCCCTAAAGCCCCTAAACCGCAAAAATACCGTAAATCTCACATCCCATAAACCCCGAAAGCTGAAACCCCCTAAACCCTGAACCCTCAGAATTTCGAAGCCTAAACGTCAAGAAACCTGAACAAACCCATAAATCCTACACAAGAAAGCCCCCCAAACCCTAAATCCCCTTATGCCCTAAAGCGAAAAATCCGTGCACCCAAACAACCCCTAAACTCGAAATCCGAAAATCCGAAATACTAAAAACCCGTAAGCCCTAATCCCCAAAAACTCCTGAACCCTAATCCCGTGCAAGCTTGCATCTTTTTTGGGTTTTCCCCCGCCCCCCCCCCCCCCGCCCCGCCCCCCCCCCCCCCCCCCCTCCCCCCTCCCCTGCCCGCCCCCCACCCCCCCCACCCGCCCCCCTCCCCGTGCCCGCCCCCCACCCCCCCCACCCCCCCCCCCCCCCCCACCCCCCCCCCCCACCGCCCCCCCCACGCCGCCCCACCCCCCCCCACCCCCCCCACCCCCCCAGCCCCCCCCCCCCCCCCCCCCCCCCTCTTTCACACAAACCCTAAACCCTAAAACCCCTGCACCCTAACCCTAACCCGAAACCCTAAACCCCAAAAGGCCCTACACCCTAAACCCTAAACCCTAAAACCCCTAAAGCCTAAACAACACTGAGCCATAAACCGAAAAAAAACCTAAACCCTAAAAACCCCTAAACTCTAAACAAACCCTAAACCCTAAACCCTAAACCCTAAAAAAAAAACAAAACCCTAAACCCTAAAAACCTCTAAGCCCTAAACCCTAGAACCCCTAATACCCGAAACCCTAAAGACCCAAAAACCCCAAAGCCTAAACCTAAGAACCCCGAAACCCTAAACCCCAAAAATCCCCTTCACCCTTAAAACCCCTAGAGCCTAAAACCCCTGACCGAAAAACAAAAAAAAAACTAAAACCCCCTAAACCCTAAATCCCCTAAACCCTAAACCCTAAAAACCCGCAAAAATCCCGAAAACACCCTAAACCCTTGAACCGCATGGGGGAGGAGTAGGCTTCGGGTTTTCTGGTAGGGGTTCAGGGTGTTTTCGGCTCACGCTCGGTCACGTTTTCGACTCAGGGGTCTGCCCTGTTCTCGACTCAGGTCCGTCTGGTTTTCGACTCAGAGGCCTTGACTCATGAGCACATTTTCCGACCCTCGCTCGACGGCGATGCCTGTCGCAAAGCAAAGCAGATGGCCTGGTCAGCCCTGATCATCCATGGCAGGGAACATCGAGGGCTATCAAGACTATCAAGTAACTCGAAGATAATCTCACAACTCGAAGTTGCATTCTGAATGCGAATTTGTTCATTAGTGCTTGAGCAGGATGCTGGCCCATACGAGCCTAGGAGCATTCCCCAGCGCGCCTTGCAAGATGAACAGCTGGGGGCAAAGTGCCCCTGTTCTGTTCCCAATTGTCCGGTCACGTCAACCGGTGCCCACTCTGCCTTGAGGGGCCAATGCCCACTGTTCAACCGGGTTGAACATGGTTGAACATGGTTGAACAGTGCTCCCATAGACTCAACACGATTCCACAGTGCTTCACCCTCTTCACGTCTGAGGGCGCCTTCGTCCCAGCTGGACGAAGCTCCACCACCTGACACCGGGGGTCGGATGATAACGGATGTCTGGCGCCACGAATGTCTCAGGGCGAAGCATACCCAAGGGCCAGCTGCAAGGGAGCCCAGTTCACAAAGATGGAGGCAGGTGCCTGAGTGAGTAGGCATTGCCACTTACGATCAAACAACGGAATGATAAACTCCCACCTCACCCGGCCGGATTGTAGGTGCTGGGAGAGCCGGCAGCCGAGCCTAAGCCAACAACAGTTGAACGAAGCCCGACAAGAGATTGGAAACTCTTAGTGTCGGGACCTCATCTGCAGCAGGACCTCGGAATGCAGGTGTGATAGAAAGACCTTCATGCGCGAGTTGATGGATTGAGATCAAGGCAGCGTATGGGCGACCGATTTAAAAGCAGAGCAATGCGAGTCTCCTGCATTGTGGGGCACTCTGCCAAAGTCCAAAACCAATGTTGGCTGTAGCTAAGGGATGCTAAGGGCTTTCTGCTTGCATAGGAAGATTAAACTCGCCTCGGCCTGCGGCCGATCTGGTCTCCTTCCTTCCCCCTTTCCAAGCCTTCTCCCCACACTCCACCCCACAGTCCACCCACCCCCCTCCCTGTGGGACCGTGCCCTTACGCCGCCTGGAGGAGCCCCAATCCGATGCGGTCCAGACTGTGGGCCCCACAGAGACCACGTCAAAAAGCATGAAAGAAGCCACCTCCGTTGCGTGTCCTTGGACCCCCCTCAACTCCCCTGAAGCCCTCCTGGGACCACTCTAAACCTCCTGAGTGCACACTACTCCTCGCGTTGGGCCGGCATGCGGAAGCGTTTACAACTACCGTGATTAAAGACCACTGCGGCTCTGACAATCAGGGCATGATTGCACGATTCAAGGCGCTGCCCTCGGTGATGTTTCTGCTGAGATTTGAGGCCGTTGCCAGCGCAGAGTCCGAGGGTGCTTCGATTCGTTCCAACAAATTCAGTGTGTCAATTTGCTCAACTGTTCGCGTGCTTCGATGATCTTGCCGTGGCACATGCAGCGGTCGTTCGGTGGTCCTTGTCATCTGCAAAAGCGTGGGCTGACCGTCCCAGAAACGTTGCGACGTCCACGCAACTTGGAAATGTGATGGACCTCGGTGACGCTCGACTGCAGGGCTCTTGAACCCGGGTGCCCTCGCAACAATGCCCAAAAGCATGCGCACAGCAATGGTGATCAGCCAGCTGCGCAAAGCTGCACCCCCGAGCATGGGCAACAATGCCCTGTCAGGAGACACGGCGCACGTGCTCACTCTCACTCACTCACTCACTCACACGGGGACAGAGAGAGAGAGAGAGAGAGAGAGAGAACTAGAGATAGAGAGATCGATCGGTGTAATATATGCGTTTGAATTGATGTGTATGTTTATGTGTAAGCACTTATACGACTTACTTCTGATTCCTTCTCTGTGATCTCATGCAGGAAGTCGGGGAATTTGTACGCCGGACAGTGCTACAGGATCGGCAACCACTCAAACATGTACCCGACGACCTGAAACAGGCGTTTGCGGCACAGACATGAAGAGCTGTGAACATGATATTCTCGTGGATTCTGGTAGAATCAATATCCCGTCCCTACCCGGCGCGCCTTCGTTGCTCCTTGCCTCAAATTCAGACAGCACAAAAGTGGTGATCTTGCAATATTCTGCAACATCGAACTTCTGCACAACCTGAGTCCCATGGCCCACGCATGCCGGAAACACAGAAAGCGGCTCATGTCTGCAGAACTTCTTTGGAACCCGACGAGTATCGAGTGCACGAGCAGACGGGATTTGCATCGCACATGAGGGTTGTCACACTCATCTGGATTTGTTTCTCTGCGGATTGTTGCTTTCCTTTCGTGGAACTTTCGTGGTGTCCTTCGCGGGACATATTCATGACACAGACTGGCATAGTGTACCTTATTCTTATGCTGTTCAAGTAGGTTTAAGACTTGGGGACTGAGGACCAAGGTGACGCAAGAAGTAACATCTAGTTGTGCAACTAGGGCAAAGTCCCCAGTAAGGTGGTTTTGAGGAACGCCCAGGCCACAAGACGCAGGCCGAGCATGGGCATAGGTTCAAGCTTCCGTATGACCCCGCTTGAGGGATGGCGTTTTGGGATGTTTCTGGCCTGAGCCTCCTTGTGGTCGATTCGTCCGAACATGTGCGAGCCCTTCTGCATCCTGCTGCAACTCGCGAGAATCCCCCAGAGAATCCCACTGAATCCATGGAGTGCTGCAGGTTTTGCCGCTCCAGAGGGCTAGCCACTGAGGGCCTGGAGCCCACCCAAAGCTGAGAATACCGAAGAGGAAAGTGACCACAGAGAGATAGCCGCAATCCCTGGAGTACCAAGAAATCCTGCAGAGAATCCCTGGAGTGACTAGAGCGCCACCCCCAGATATTCCCCCACGACACGGCTAATCATGTTAACCACTACGCCTCTACACTTAAACCCCAGAACAGCAAACTAGTGCAGAAAGGCCAGCACTCTTTTGTCCAGGATGTGCTTTGGCGAGGCAGTGAAAGGCAAAGCAGTCGGAGGTCGAGGCCAGGGTTGAGGTTTTGCAAAAGGCGATGTACAGTATCGAAGTTGGGCAGGGTGTTTTCTTTGCTGAAAACAGCATGAGGAAGCCCAGGCAGCTCTCCAGGTCTTTGCACGGGGGGTGCTTCCCCTCTCGCAAGGTCTAAAAGCTGCAGCAGCTTGTGGAGTTTGGAGGCTTGACGCTCGACGATATCTGCTCGGAAGCAGAAGAGCCAACCGCACCATGCGAGTTATCCCCTGAGGGGATCGCTCGTGCGCAGTCTTCGAATACACAGCAGGAAGTGGATTTTGGGAGTCGTGCGAGTGGTGGAGATTGGACGTAAGTTTGAACCACAAATGCGAGAGCGGCAGCATCGTGCACCTAGAAGTAGAGAACACTATGAGCAAGGGGAGCGCAGACTACTGTAAACTCTGTGCAGGCAAAGAGGTTGCCGAAATGGCTCAGGCTTTGGAAGCTGTGAATGCTCCATTCCCGGCTTGCGAAGGGATACCTAGCCATTAAGGCTGCATTTATGGTCGTTTCTGAACGCTGAAATTTCTGCAGATGATCCGGTCATTGTCAGAGGGTGGAAAACATTGAGCTTGCCTTTCAGGCCTTGGAGGACGAGGGCCGAATACGGGAAGGCTTCTGTTGCTATGACTGCCATGAATGCTCGTGGCCTTCATGCGGAACGGGCTGTAGAGGGCTCGGGCTGGGGCCTATTAGGGGCTGTCGAAACTAAAGCAAGCGAACACCAACGGAAAACGTAGACGGCGTAAACCCCAAAGCCTCCAGCCCTGCACGCTTCAAACATCTTCAACCCCTCAGCCCTCGTGCGGCACGGGTACGTGGTCGCAGAATGCCGCAGAGAGCTGCGAAAACGCGAATGGCGAAGAAGCGAGCGGGAATTGCGGAAGCGAGTTGCAAGCTGGGTCTGGACTTGGGAGGGTTTAGAGGCCGGTGTGAGGCCAAGCTTCGAGACCTACGACATCCTACGACCCTGTTTGGCCCTTTTCCGGGTCCTGCCCGGCGGCCACCCTTTTGCGCGACCCGAGGCCATCGCAAAACCGTGGCAGTGGACTCGCTCGTCGCAGCCACGTTGCAACGCTTTCCGAGGAGAGCGTATGTCCAGCCAACGGGTATTTGGAGGTTTCTGCGTGCCACTATGGACCTGTGTAGTTGCGACGTTTACATGGATAACGTTTACTTCCCATTGATAGCCCCCCCCCTTGATTGATTCAATCATTCAATCTTTCTGGCAGGGGGCCGAGAAATCTAATTGCAGATTGTTTGGGTTTCTAAAGGCCCTTGATGGACTTGTCAGCCTTTGTTTGCGGCTGTAACACCTGGTACGCCAGTCATGGCCTGAATTCGTCTTGCTTTAGACCTACCGATTGAAATGATGGACACAACCTCAAAACAGCCCAGCAATGCCCAGCACCACACGCATCAGCAGTGTCACCGAATCGACCGAATCCCCTTATAACCAACAGCGAAAGCACCGGGGTCCACCAAGACCGATCAGTGAGGGTCGATTGGGGCCATGGCTTCGAGAAGAAACGCATCAGCTCTGCTTCCCCAACATCAATGGACAAGCCAGACAGCACCACCTAGCATTGAGTTCTGCCTAGTGCTGTCCAGTGGAGGCAGTAAAGCTCACGCTCCAGCGTGTTCGAAGCCTTGCTGGAGAAGGCATGCAGGTCCAAGTTCAACGGCGCAGGCTGCTTCCCATCGCCTCGCAACGAAGGCATTCCCACATTGAGGAGGCTTGGCGCTGTTCGAGGAGCAGACTGAGGGGTCTTGGCAGGTGAAGTCTGCAGCAGGACAGCACGGATCCTGCAGGCCGGTCGGTATGAGATAGCCTTGGAGGCACAGGAGAATGGGGCAAACCACGGCGCCGCACGGCCGCACCCGGGTCTTTCGGCCGGTTGGGGGACCATGCAACCCCCCAAATAAGCGCGCCACATGACGAGTTTTGCCTGGTACCAACCAGACGCTTTGAACTGGTGCAACAAGGTAAGCTGTTTAGCTGCAGCCACCAACCAGCCTCTGGGAGATAGCCATCTTCTGACGCCTCGCGGTCTGCGGCAACACGTTGCACACTCTCGTCGCTAGTCACTCTTCTGTCGCTCCATTTGCTCTCCCATCCGAAGTCTCGGGCATTCTCGGGCTGGAGAAGACCCCTCTTCGAGCGTAAGATGGATTACCCTCGATTACACACAAGACTACCCACACGTCACCCCATTCAGCCTGTTCAGCCTGTTCACCTTACTTTCCTTCTCGCACTCTGCCTTCCACATGAGTTGACATGAGTACCTAGGGGGGGTGCACCCGACCCTGCCTCCTCTGAAACCTAGTGTAAGCCGCCGAAAAATCCTACTTTTCCATCTGCCATGCCTGCATCTCGAACATGAAACAAGCAAACATCACATCAATCCAAGAGGCCTTCGGCAGGCAGAAAGTGACTCGGTCACCCGACTGAAAACGAATCTGGCCGCAGTTTGACTGCAAAAGCAGCACCTGGCCCATGCGAGGGGTTACCGCAAATAAGCTTTGCAGCACAAACTGCACGCAAAGGTTCAGCACCACAAGCCCCAACTGAAGCTCTAAGCCTTGAAGCAAAGCAGTCAAAGCAGCTTAAGGAGGAAGCTGCTTGAACGAATCGTTTCTTGATCACGGGGCCTCGCCGGTGCCGCCGAGGTCACGCGCAACTTCTGCGCAAACAGCTGTGCCCGGCTTCCTGAGTGACTCCGTAACTAATCGCCGATTTCTCCCGACCTGGCCCGACCTACTGTTGCCTCCTGGTCACCTGTATGTCTCATAATGAGTCTGCTTGGGAGGAAAGGTCTGGTCTTGGAGGCACGAATGAATCGTATCCTTGCAATAGTGAGCCAGTATCTGGCCCTTGAACCTTTCATGAACATGCAGTCCCTCTAGCTTCTTTTAAGCCTTGACGTAGGATCATCATCTCTAGGGTTATCATCTACAGGATGCTGGGTGGGGTCCTTGAGACTGTTTCTGCGCCACACAGCCGACATGCACGGTGAACCTGGAGGATTGTAAGGCATTGACCATGGGCTCTCCGGCGACTCGTTGATCCACCTGATGTGGCGTTACTTGTGCATCCGCTTCTTCAGGCACCCTGCCATGGTGGTCTGCTCTACGCCTCTACGCTTCGAACCTTGGCTGATCTGGGCAGCGCACTCCGGAGCTCGCACCACGGTTCCACTGTACTTTTGCATGCGCCGCACCTGACTCTGTGTTCTTTTGCTCTGTGGTGTTTTGCATGCAGGAGGCTGTGGCAACATTGAGCAGCGCTCAAGGACTGAAAAGGGGATCTCGCAAAGACCCATGACATCCAAGGACACTTCAGAGCAACACCGCCGATCGAGCGAAAGATGACCCGAAATTTCGGCACACACGGCAGTCTCTGCGTTGCCATGATCCAGTTTGGGGTTCGGCAACTTCGGGGCAAGTGTGTCCTGCTCGCATGAGAAAAGCATCTGTGCTGCAGCCGGCAAGTACTGACGCTGCGAAAAGTTGAGAAGTAGCTACATCTACGGTACCTTATGTACCTTTCGAAGGCAGAAACGAATGGAAGACCTCGCGAATATTGTGTGCAAAGTGAAATCTGTGGAGTACGTCCTGTCCTGGGCCGTCTCAAAATGCTGTGAAGATGCCTAACTTCTGTGATGTCCGAACGTGCCAAGCAGATCCACCCCAACATGCTCAAGATTCGTGCGGCAGCACAAATCACTGACATGGAACGACCTCTATGGTCTGACCTATTCTTGGAGTCCTCGCTGTCATGAGCAGGATGTGTTTGCTAATTGAGGTTGGGTTTTGGCTTTCTTCGACTCGGAATTCTCTCCCCGTGGCCGTTGTGGCTCTGGACATCTCCGCTTTTCTAGAGCTGTGCGAAGTTGTGCAAGGTTCGTCTCCAACTGCAAACAAGTGATTTGGGCAGACAATCCTTTTCAACCCTTGAACTGTGCCTTGACGGCCTGTGGAAAGCCTTCGACACTGAGCTTCACCATGAACTGGACCAGATCCTGCGTGGCATAGGGCTCAAACCACGGGAAGGAGGACCTGGAATTCAGAAGGGTTGGATTGGCTGTACTTGCCTGGGATTGGTTGATTTGAGTCACTTCTGCATCTTGTGGCATCTTGTGGCATCTTGTGGCATCTTGCAACAGTCAAGTCCTCCTCTGCAAGTCGCGGCAACGTGGACTTCTCCTACACAGCAAAACAGCTCCGAGAGCTAAAGGCCGCTCAATCGGGGAATTGGCATTAGAGAGCCTCTCTATTTGTGCTTCAATTTCACCTCCGACGGCTTGAGCACAAGAACATGAGAACGCGATCGGCTTTAATCACAACGCCCTGCATCATCGACTTTTCAGACCCCAGTGAGGATTTTGTTCGCTTTCTCACACGGTTATCGGAACTTATCGGAACTTTCACACTTTGCCCTGAACAGCCTTTCGGTGCATGTCTTGTTCTCAGAGATGGGGGATGGGAGGGGGGGAGAGCGGGGGGGGGGGCTGGAGGGTTCCTGCATCGTACCGGCATGTCGGCGCAAAGCGATTTGTCACAGTATGTGCATGCACGCTGTTGCACGCTGTTGCACGCTGTTGCTTATAGGTGTTCCGAAACCGTTGGGTCGTTGGGCATCGTTAGGCTATCGTGGGACCATTTAAGGGACAGCATGTCGAGGTGGCCCATGGCGAACCGATCCACAACGCAGTCCTGATGTAACTTTGGGCAATCGGCACATCCAAGCTGGAAGACATAGAGCCAAGGGACTGCATCTGAAGCCCGGAGAGCTGATGAAGGCAAGTTCTGATTATGCGGACAGAAACCACGTGTATTGTATTCTAGACTCTGTTAGGTCTCGATCCCTCTCTCGGCCCACATTGCCTGTCGCTGGGCGGTGGTTCAGAATACTGCAGCCCCACACTGCACTACGGATAAAACCGCTTCACGGCAATGCCAGGCATACCGCCAAATCCCAAAATACTCCATTTACTTAACATCTATCCCGATAACCTGAAAAATCATGAGTTCGAATTGAAACTGCAGCGACTTTTTAGTTTTCGGCCTGATGTCTCAGCGCCAGCCGATGGTATTAAAGCCAAAATCTGCCAATGTGCTCGCATTCATGCTCTATCGGATCATTATGTGGTGTCATGTCAGCACATGTCAACACTGCCTGGAACAAGCCAAGAACCGAAGCTCTTTGTTCAGAGCAAGGATGCTCATAAGAGATCATGAGCCATCATGAGCCACCTCCGATGACATCTCAAAGTTGCTCGGAAGGGCTCGAGGCGGCTCACCGGGTCAGACAAGGCCAGAGATCCCCTTCGTGGAACAAGGGACATGCCAAT